GTTGCTAAAGGCTCGAACGGTGGTTTGGTAAGTGCTTGGAGTACTACAGAAAGACTCCATGTCGGCATGGCAGGGCGAATAGACGGATGTAAATTTTGTAGTCCCTTAATGAAGCGCCGAACCAGCGGTTGTGAGAAGACTGATAACCCGTGTATAGTGCCACGATAATGGGATATAGCGGCTGAATAAACTTTGATGGATGACGGTTTAAGTCCCTCCTGATGCAAATGTAAAAGAAATTGTAAGATACTGGTGACTGAAGCCGTTGCAGGGGAGAACGAATGGCACTCCGCAAAAGAGGAGAATCTTCTCCATTTAGCCGTATAGGAACGACGAGTGGACGGTCTTAATGCAGATTCGATAATCGCCTGAATTTCTCTGTCGGTAGGCATGGGTATCGTGATACTCGCTGTCGAATTCGAAGTTGGGGCTGCGTATACCGTGTGTTGAGTGAAGTCACCCGTGGCGTGAGGTGCCCTCGGTACTGACTCGGCGACATGAATCAGGTGATTCGCCATGCCGTCAGCTTCAGAGAGAATATATCTGGATGGCGGATCGCTCCTCCTTGTTGTGTTAACAAGTGCGGGAGAGTTGGTAGATGAAGGAACGTTCTTCTGGACAGCAGCAAGAGAGTGGTAAACCATGGTTGTCTCAGCCACCACGGAGTCACTAGTATCCCCGTGGCCCTGTCCTGGGCTATTTTTGTTACTACTCTCGTCAGAAGTGGGATTGGAGGAAACGCATAAAAAGTCATGTTGCTCCAAGGGACCATGAGAGCATCTCCCATCGATCCCGGCCCGACGCCCGCTCTGGAACAGTAAAGGGCACACAGGCTGTTCTGTCGTGTGGCAAACAGGTCCACATCCGGATAACCCCACAAGCAGAAGAGTTCCTCGCAAAGTTGTTTGTCCAACTCCCATTGGTGGGTTGTCAACATCTGTCTGCTTAATGTATCTGCTTCGACGTTGTCGGTTCCAGCCAGGTGAACCGCCATAAGCGTAATGTTCCTCGGTATGCACCAGTCCCAAATGTCCATCAATAGGCGTGCCAAGGCTGGAGATTTTGTGCCCCCCTGCTTGTTGATGTAGAAAACTGCCGCTATATTGTCTGATGCAATTTGGACAATTTGACGGCATAACACAGTCTTGAAAGCCTTGAGGGTGTTGAAAATTGCCAGAAGTTCCAGGAAGTTGATGTGTTTCCTCGCCTCTTGTCAGTTCCAAGTACCTTGGACCTGAAGTCCCGAACATGCTGCACCCCATCCCAGGAGGGATGCGTCGGTGTACAGAGTTGTCGTTAGCTGAGGTGGTCAAAATGGGGTGCCGATCGAAGGGTTGTCTGTGATGGTCCACCATGTTAAAGTGTGAAGGACTGCAGGCGGGATCCGAATCTGCTTGGTGGCAGGATCTTGTTGCGGTTGAAAGGCAGCGTTGAAGAACAGTTGAATGGGTCGCATACGTAGCCTGGCATACGGGACAATGGCAATAGCAGCAGCCATATGTCCCAGTAGTCTCTGAACAGAGAAGGCTGGAACCGTTCCGTGTAGTCGAATCCAATGAATATGGCTGCATAAAGCATTCTGACGTTCCGGTGGGAGGAAAGCTTTTTCCTGTGTCGAGTCGAGTTGCGCCCCGATGAAATCGATGACCTGCATGGGAATAAGGGTCGATTTGTCACGGTTAATGCAGAGGCCGAGAGCATCGAACAAAGCGCAGGTCATTTGTATATCAGACAAGAGAGCTTGTTCGGATTGTGAGACGATCAGCCAGTCATCCAAGTATGGGTAAACCTGTACTCCGCGAGTCCGCAAGTGTGCGCATACCGGTGCCATACACTTTGTAAAGACTCGAGGGGCTGTGGCCAAGCCAAAGGGTAGGACGTTAAACTCGAACAGGTCGGATCCGACAGTAAAACGTAGAAAGCATCTGTGTGAAGGATGGATGGAAATATGAAAATAAGCATCCTTCAAATCTAGTGAGGCGAACCAATCCTCTCTTTTCAATAATGGAAGAATGTTCTGTAAAGTGGTCATCCGGAACTTCCTTGGTTTGATGTACTTGTTAAGAGTTCGTAAGTCCAGGAGACCACCGTCCCTTTTCGGGACCGTAAAATATCTGGAATAGAATCCATGCAATCCTTCCGAGCAGGACAATTTTCGAATCGCTCCCTTGAGAAGTAGCTGTGAGACTTCATCGCGTAGCACCGATGAAGAAGGTGTGAAGCGAATCGGGCTCGAAGGAGGGATAACACAGAATTCTATCCTATATCCGAACAAGATGATAGATAACACCCACCTATCAGATGTAATGGACTCCCAAATGGGAAGTCGGCCCTGGAGCCGGTCCCCAAAAGGGAGAAGGGAAGGTGGTACTGGAATAGAGAGGATGGTTCGCGCAAGCCAGGGCCCTCGAATCGCCTACAGCCTTGGGAAAAATGCTGTTGTGCTTGCTGCCTCCGACGCTGCCGTTGTTGGTATTGTTGGGTTCGAGGGTAGTTTTGCTGGCGCGGATAATATGGTTGATTCCGGTAGGACGACCAGGGCCACTGCCACTTACGTTTTTGCGGGAGCTCCATGCAGCGTGCGGTTAGGCGTGATTCATGAATCACCTTTAATTTTCGGTCAGTCTTCTGGTGCAACAGACCGGTACCATCAAAAGGCATTTCCTCGATTCTGCACTTCATCTCATCGGGGAAATTACAATTGCGCAGCCACGCATGTCAGCGTAGCGAGATGGCGTTGACGAGGGCCCTTGAATCGGTGTCTACATGGTGACAAGCAGTAGACAGCTGTTGTACCGCCACCTGCATTGCCTCCTTAATAAAAACCCTGGCAAGGTCCACTTGGTGGTCTGGAAGGGAGGAAGCGACGTTATCCAGTTTCTGCATGATAAAGTACTGGTAACGTGCCAGTGTCGCTTCGTAGTTCGATATGTGCACGCCGAGTCCAGAGGCCGCATAGACTCGGCGTGCAAGCATATCGATTTTCCTCCCTTCCTTGTCCCGAGGAGTGGTATGTCCCCTGGACTCCCTGCCCTGGGAGGATTCAACCACAAGAGAGTTCGGTTTTGGGTGACGGAGCAGGAAGGGAATGACATCATCCCGAACTCTATACATAGCCTCATATCTGCGGGAGGTCGCTTGTGGTTGGGCCGGTTGGTCCCAGGGTTGGACCATAGCCTGGCGCAGTGTACTTATAAGTGGCAGAGCTATGGATGCAGACTGCTCTCCCCGAACGACGTCATAGAAGTGATCTGTCAAAGGGCCTGGCTGTTGATGGGCTTCGATTTCAAGCGAACGAACCAAGCGGGACATAAGCTCTGTGAACGAGACATGAGGTTCGTCAGGTGAAGCAGGCCCTTGATATGCGACAGCCACATCAGGGGATGTGGAGTCGACCTCCGAGTCCTCAGAGTCTTCCACGTAGTGCGGCCAGTCGTTGAGGAGGAGGAGGTTTCAGGGGATGCTGGGTGCCTTGTCTCCGTACGCCTGGAGGTGGATGGCACATCCCTCAGGACCGATGGTGATCTATGCTCACGAGGGAAATAGGGATATGGCTGGTACCCACTCCAACTGGGGGGAGCACCATATCCCGGAATCAACCAACTTTCATCTCGACGCTTGGATGAACGGCTGCGACCTCTGGGAGGTAATGGTGAGGCCACATGAGATTCAGTCGGTGGCATGGGTGTTGGTGAGCGTTCCCTCGGCAGGAAGTCTCTGATTTCGCCATCAGAGATGGACTCCCGAAGTGGCTCCTCCTGTTGCTGGGAAGGCACACTCTCAGGCAGAGCGGTTGGCCTGGGGGATCCTGGTGGTGTCACCTGCATAACGAGTTGCAGGGCCAGTCCCGAGGGGGTCGGTACCGTGGCGGACGTTGGTACTGAAAAGCCCGATGAACCTGAGCCTCGTTGTTTTGGGCAATCAGGTTTTTTGCTCTTGCAAGCGGGCTTATCCACCTTTTCCTTCCTCAACTTCTTATGGGTGGAAGTTTTATCCAGACTGGTATGCTTGCGCTTCTCCCGTTTCTTAGTCAAGGGAGAAGGCAGCGACTGAGCCCCCATAGAAGCGGAGCCCTCGTCTGAAGGACGCTGAGGAGGGTCGGCAGAAGTCGAGGAAGGACGCTTCGCCGGAGCGCTCACGGTGGAGGAGGAGCGCTGAAGAGGCGCGGACGAAGAGGAAGCAGGCCATAGGAACAGTTGGTCGGACTACATTAATGCCTGATCCCATAGCAGCTTTCTGAGACGATTCTCCCTATTTTTCCGCGCCTGCTTGGTAAACGCCAAGCAATGACCGCACTTGTCGGTCCTATGCCCCTCGCCGAGGCAGAGGAGGCATAGATCATGTGGATCGGCCGGCGACATTTTAGATCCACATTCAATACACTTGCGGAATGCCGCCCACTGCGCCATCGCGGAAAAATGAAGAAAAGGGGACAGTATAGAGGGTAAGATAATATTTTTGTATTTTTGTTTTGTTTTTATATGGAGAGAAAGAATTCAAGAAGAAAACGGGCAGAATCGGGGAGAAGAACAAACTTGGAGCAAAAGAATTTTAAACTTTTTGAGAAAAAACAACGAAGAGGCACAGATCTATAGCGAGAGACGAACAGGCATGAGGCACAGCGAACGGCGGTCACAAAGACTGAGTAAAATGGCGGACACTCCGCTCTATTTATACCACAAAGGGGGAGGGGAGCGGAGTTTTCCCGCCAAAAACCGTTAGGTTTCTCATCTTCCGGCCTAGGCACTGCGCAGGCGCAGCAACCCGTATGTGTGATGCACAGAGGCCACGACGAAGAACCTTACTAAAGTAAGAGCATCCTGAAAAATATATGGCAGACATGACCCTCTGGGAAAAGTTTGGAAAACCTCAAACACTGAAAAGTAAATTGAATACATGCAAAGAGCAGTCACTGCAGCAAAACCTGACAATGAAAAGTCCTTAGACAGACATACATTTAATTATTACTTGAAGTAACTTTATCACAGCTTATAACTTACCACTTCATGAATGGAACGATTGAAACCATCATCTTCAGTAAGGATTAACAGAATTATCAGAGCCATGTACACATGGTGTGAATTCCTTTCCTCAACATGATAAAGAATCTCAAGAATCGGCAGCACCTTTAAGGGACCAAAATGGGAGGGGGGGAGAGAGAGAAACAGGCAGGCATTTTAATAGCATTTCAAAATTCCTAGAACAAGAAGGATCTTCACCTTTTAAGTTTCCAGATCTGTATTTATATTACAGGCTAATAATAGGGCTAATGATAATATATGTCTAACAGCATCCTTTAGGCAGGTAAAGCAGATTGTTCTAATATTTTACCAGTATTAGTACTGAGCATGGTTTTAAGGCACATTATGTTACTCTCATTTAAAACTGTCATCTCATGTTGCTACTTTTCTTCAGATTATTTCAGTATTTTCCAAACCAAAGCATGGTTAAACAGTTTACCAGATTCTACAAAGTTCATTATCAGATTATTTTCTAAGACTACTTTAACATCCATTGCAATCACTGCAGCACTCCTTCACTCACTGTTTTATTTCCCCTTCCTTCTCATCTTTACCAATCAAGCCATCAGCCATGTCTTGTTGCTAGGAGAAACTCAGTTCTTTTTCCTGAATATGCCTATTTTCAGGATACCCACTCAATACCATCCTGACAACTGTACTTGAACTCTTATACTAGAAATGATTGAATACCAGGCAATAAAATATGAGAATTCTGACTATGCAAGCAAAATATCCTTACTGGTTTTTATTTTAGTGCAAAGAGGAAAATATGCTAAATGCTCAGGACAAGATTTTTTAAACATTCTTCTGCAGCATTTGCAGTGGCTCACTTGGCTTTGTAATGTTAATTTGTGATGCCAAAATGTATGTCTTTGCTTAAAACAACATTGTTGCCATAATCCCTTCCTGTGCTCTTTCTGAGCATACTAGTGTTCTTCAACATAATGTGGGACTCGCCATCTGTTTTGGGTTAATGGGACCATTTGAAATTTTAAGAATATCATGAGTGCCACAAGAGAGCTTCCCATTTGTAAAATGGCTGCCACTGTGGGCATGGCTGGTTACAAAATGTTCATTTTCCAAAACGCAAACTGGTGAATATACAAGAAAAGAAACTTGATCAGGAACCCGAGTACAAAGCAGAGGCGAAATCCAAGTTCCAAAATGCAAAATGACTCTTTTGAACCCAAACAAAGATGATGCCAGAGGGCAATACTTTGTTTTGCACTATTCCAGCTTCCCAGTTTTTAAAACATTTAAATAAATATCTTAGTAACTAAAATAAAAATTAGGAGGTGTAGAGAGTCAGAATATGAATACATGACAATCAATCAATTGCAGCAAAAGAATTTGTTTTGTTTTTTAAGACAATGGAAAAATAATAAAAATCATGTTCTGTAACACTCCAAGTTTATCAGTGGAGATAGGAAGCATCAAAGAAAGACGTACATAAATTTAATTCCTTTTCCTCCGGCACAAGCACAAGAACAACAAGCAAAAGGCACATGAAGCAATCTGAAATTAGCAACACCAGAGGGAGACAAGATAGGTTTATATCTAGGATTTGGAAAGATGGATTTTCCTTGATATTTTCCATCAATATCACCAAATTTTCCTAGAAAGTGAATTGCTGCACTTCAGAATACCATCCCTTGCTTTACAAGCAACTTTTCACTAAAGGGGGCAGAATCAGAACAAACCACAGATTGTGATTTTCTACATCACAAATGCAAAGTCTTGAGTTCCTGAAAGGCTCCTCTGACATGTAATTTATTGAGGAATGTTTTAAATAAATACCCTTTTCCACTGTCACCTGAAGACTCAAATGGACTGTAAGCAGGACTAAATTGCCTTCTCTCAGAAACGATCATTTCCCCCTTTTTAACTGCATCCAGCCTGAGGACTGGATTCCATTGCAATGCTTAAATTACCAGGCTGTAGGCAACCAGAAGGAATCCAGAGCCCTGACTGTTCGTTATACCACCTTAGCTAGTGCTTTTAGAAGGGGGGCGGGGGGATATTTGACTACTACTGAAGGAGTCAGGTTGAATTCTCTGGATTTTGCAGAGGTCCACCTACTTTCTTCCCAAACTTCAAGTACTGGTTCTGTATAACTGAAAAGCTCATTTACCACATGTTTTTCCCCTAATAGATGTACAATTTTACTATCTTGTATGTGTTGCCATTCTTCAAACATGTTCAACTTTTTTATTAACTGTAAAGTATTTACCACCACTTAGCCTTTTCAGCTTACCACTCCTCTGCTCAGAGAAAGGTAGCAATACAGTAGACATAGTGTAGGGACACTAATTCTGAGTTTTAATAACTATAGTAGCTAAAGTGGGAAGCTCAGTTACTCACAGAGAGTTATATGAACACTGCATGCACTTCAGAGACACCCCCTGCCTGAAAATCCCAACTAATGCTAATACAACTGGATTTGGTGGATACAATCCCTGAAGTTGGGTGGGAATAGCTGGGAAAATAAGCCCAAAACACACAGAAGTATGCATGGAAATGCATGGGCACAGTGAAGAGCAGATCATATGACCCACACATCATTCATCATCCCCACTACAGTCTGACCAACGAGAATCCACAGTAGCATAACTTCCTAATTGCCATTTCATAACATCAGAAAGTAAAGGAAACACGGTCTAACTCAATTTCTACTCCAGTACCTAGTTTTCTCAACCACAGTACAAGATCAAACATTTCACAAGGAAGCTCAAGTTTTATGAGTGTCTAGTATTACTTGCAGTACAGTGGAATATTCAGTAAGTATGCTTACCAGATTTTCCATATCTGTTCGAGCCAACATATATGTTCGAACATTGCTGTTCTGATGCAACAGAGTGTACAAAAGGAGGGTTGCTTGGTCAGAGTTCTGCTGCTCACACAGAGTGGTATACAAACTATTAAAATTGATCTGGAAAGTGTGAGGATTTGGTGAAGGAAGAGCTGTGCTATCTGGAAGGAAAGAGCAAATATAGTTTTTTAAAGGTCCATTTTGCTGGTTTTTTAGGTTTATATCAGCAATCTTTTTAGAGTTATTGTTAGACCAAAACTACATGTGGGGATTCAATCCTTTTTGTTGGTTTGCTTTTGTCAAATATTTGTATAGAGGTAGCACTGCCATTGCAACCCACTTTAAGTCAGTAGCCCAGTAATGGGTGCCAACTTACCCGGTGAAGATCAGTAATTTAGATAAGAATGCCTAGAAAGCTTTTTATATCTGTTGCCAAGTTTTATCCTAATTCTCTTTAATGCTTAATATTCATGGGAAAGGGGGCACAACTATCTAAACCTCACAAAACTATTACTGGACACAATGACCAAGCACAGGTTTTTGGTGACCACAATACCTGATGGAACACTGCTCCTAACCAACATCTACCCAGACACTACAATCAAGCTCTTGCACCTGCCTCTGATAGCCACCACCACTGAGGGAGGCTTGGTTGGTGGCAAGGGTGGCCTCCCTTCCCACTGAGGCCTGCCTGGTACCAACCTTACTGTCTTATTGGCACAAGTTTAAGACTATCCTCTATCACACGACATTTAATTAGTTTATCAGGGCTTTATTTGTTGGTTAATCAGGTTCCGAGATTTATCTTGTTTAAGTTATTGGAATTTTAAATGGTTCAAATTTGTTTTGAAATTGCTTAATTTTTAAAAATTTTGCATGCCAACATTTTTCCAAAGATGTTTTACAATGTGCTACATTTTAGATTTTTAAAAAATGACTTATTGCAAACCACCCAGAGAGCTTTGGTTATTGGGCAGTACAGGAGTTAAACAAACAAATAAATAAAGCAGTTGTCAAATTATAGAAGGAGGCAGAACAGGTCTAATCCCCTTAAATTTGTGATGACCCCTTACCTACTAGTTTTAGAAAGAGGGCATAATTTGGCTAAAGTGGGGTGGGAAGAGTCAGGAGGTGGTGTTTATTAACAGTATTAAAGGTCCCTCTTCTTTTCATACCTATAAATTGAGCCCTGCCAATAAGCTCAGAGTCAGGCTAGGGTTTGAATGCACAGTTACTTGGTCCAACGCCAGAGAAATAGAAATCCATACTTTGTTTCTTGGTAAATTATCACTTTTAAAAGACACATACCTTGTGTGTTCTTGAAAGACATAATAGCTTGTCTATAAGGGTTGGGTGTATCTGGTGCATCGGTCAGATTTGCCAGGACAAGCAGCAGCAGAAGACTCTGATTTGCTAGTGGTGAAGATTCTTCCTGCTGAGGAGCCCGCTTGCTTCCCACACCTCCTAGTGTGAACACTGTCCACAGGCCAGCTGGAGGAAAGGGGAAAGAATCAGATTTAGACTTCTCAGATGGCTTTGGCTTGATGTTTGAACTATATTCTGAGCTCTGGTTCAGTTTGTACAAATGGAAAAAACAATTTAGACATTCAGAATAGATATAAGTTGTATCCATGCCTCATCCATGCCTTATTTTGTATTTTATTTGATGTTGTAAGCCGCCCCGAGGCCTCGGCAAGGGGCAGCATAGAAATGTTTTAATAAATAAAATAAATAAATAAATCCCAGTAAGACAGAATTTCTTGGACCAAATTAATCCAGAACCAAAATGGAAATAATCTCCGAAGAAACTAATCATTCTAAGTAATTTAAGCTAGCTATGCAGCCCATGTCCACATGCAGCTTCCTGGAATTATGGTGAGGTCATTATCCATTTGCAAGAATAGAGGGGACACACGGACCTCCTTGATCTGGGGCAACACAACCAGGCACGATGTTGAGCTAGTGGGGCAGCTAGTGGGGCAGCACGGAACAGTTAAGCTGTACTGTTATACCATTATGGATGCCCAAAGGAGAGCCAGACGGGGTCAGAGAAGCGGGAGGGTGGGTCCGCCATGTCCCAGAATTTAGATGCAACCCAGGAAAAAATGTTTGGGGAAAAAAGGCTGAAGCAACTTATTTGTTCCTTTGGTTCAGGTAACAGAATTTTCTTACCAGAAGTTTTTACAGTCACAAGTTTTTATATACGAGTCAGGATAACATTTTAAAAAGTTTCCAATAAAGTTTTTCAGTTTTGCCACTTACTTATTTCATTATAAACTTGCTTGATGCCACGTACGCTAACCTGAGCAGCTTGTGGGAAAGGCAGGATACGGATGTAACAACAATAAATACTTTTGCTTGCAAAAGCATGCTTAATTCTCCATTACACCAAAGAATTAACTCCTGTTATGGTATGCATCAGACTGCATAATGCAGTACAAAACCTAACAATTATTGTAACACAATTGTAGTGCAATTCCTCTTAAGTGATCACAGATGCAATGGCAACGCAGCTGCCTAGGTGGTCTGACTAAACATATTAAGGAACATGTGGAATTCTGAGGTATAGTACTAAGTTCTCTGAAAAGATACTTGTTGTTCCAACATGGCATAGCACACCTATGGAATACAAGTAAAACTACCCAGAATCATTAATTCTTTATCCCTTTTCTCTCCCGCACCAACATCCCCCTACACAGAAAACCAGAAACCACCTCATGATGAAGGTTCTATTCACAGGGAGGGAGGGATCATGGAGTAAGATGCAAAAACAGTATTCTCTCCATGGAATCTTGTGATACCATTCAGCAAAAAAATGCAGGGTGCAATTTTACTTCTTGTATAGCGAAGCGATAAGCCCATATACAGCAGTCTCTCCTTTGAACCATGCAGTCTCTCAACTCTGAATTGCAAGTTTGGAGGTGAGCAAAAAGGCCATGAAGTAGGGCTGGCTTGGGAGCAGAAAATGGCGTAGAATGCAGCAGTTAAGATGCAATTTTTTTATTTTATATTGTTAATTCGTTTTATATTTTTAATGTATTATATTTTAATGTTTTGTGAGCCACCCCAAGGCTTCAGCGAATGGGGCGGCATAGAAATTTTCTAAATAAATAAATAAATATAATAAAATAAATATAATAAAATGAAGCACCTAGTTATAGGCAGCATACATAGAAACAGCAAGTCAGAAGAGACCTCCTGGGTGATCTAGTCTGATTTCCAGCACAAGCCAGCTCCACTCAGGTAATCCCTAATATGTGGTTGTCCAATCTTTCCTTGAACGCCCTCACTGATGGGGCCTCCACCATCTCCCTTGGAAGTCATTCCATGATGCGAAGAACATGTTGCGAAGAACCGCATCAGCTGCTTATTAACTACTGAGCCATGTTCTAGGTTTTCTTATTGTCATACAAAGCCCTAAGCAACTCATTCTTATGGTACTTAGCTGGCCCTCAGAACTCAGTTAAACCCAAGTTCTTCTGAGGCAGCTTTTCTCAGGCAAAGGCATGTCTCCAAGCAGGAATGTGTAAGTGGGAGTTCTCTTATGGAAGCTTTTTGGAAAACCCCTTTGGAATGCTCACCATGTATTTCAAAAGCTAGAACATGGACAAGTTTTAAATGCCTTCTGACTACAGAACTATTCACTCAGACTTTCCCCTGACTTGCAAGAGACTCCTGTTATTGTACGCTGCTGCCGCCTTTTACTTTGGATTTTGCTTTCTTTACATTCTGTTTAAACACATAAAAGGTGTAAATATTATATTCTGATGCTGGGAACAATTGATGGCAAAGGAGAGGGGATGGCAGAGGATGAGGTGGCTAGACAGAGTCACTGGGGCAGTGGGTGTGGGGTTGGGTGGACTCCAGGGGATGGTGGAGGACAGGAGAGCCTGGGGGAATGTTGTCCATGGGGTCGTGATGGTCAGGCACGACCTTGCGACTAAGCAAAACGAAAGAAAATATTATATTTTATTATGCTGTTTTGTTTTTAATTCTGTAAATTGCTCAAAGAAATTTATAGGAATGTATTAAATAAATAAATGCTGCTGATTTGTTTGTTTCAAGAATAAATCTGCTAGAATCTGGTATTTTATGCTGGAATTTTTAAAACATGCATGGTCTAAGAAAAACATGTCTGTGTGAAACTGTGGTCATACACACATTTGATTCTTAAATATGCATTCACCAATGAACATTTTCAGAATGCATTTTTTCATAAATCGTTTTTCAACGCCCCCCACCAAACTATACAAAGTTCAAAAATCACCCGTTTCCTCTAGCATATAAGCAGCATTCAAACCGAGAAAGAATGCTTTGAAAAACAACTTTCTATTAGGATAAAAGTATTTCTTTCAAAACCGAAATAACTTTGCATTCATATTTCTAGATTAAAATTCCACAATTCTTTTTATGCAGTTGTTTTAAACGAGATATGGCATACAGGATGTGTCACCCCAAATATAATTTAGAATGAGGGGAAAGTCCAATTTTCAATTAATCTATGTGTGGCAACAATCCAGAAGGCTGACAATTTTATTTTAAGATCAACATTCTAAGATTATGCGTTCCTATTCAATCTTCTATTGTTTATTAATGTAACCTTTTGAGATATTGTTCAGCTTGATATCTGCAAAAGCCAGTTTTGACATGTACTTCTAGTGCTTACAGCTCACTTTTCTCCACTCCAGTTAATGATGCCATCAAGTTTCACAAACTGCTGTGCATGAACTCTTGGCCAGCAGATTTAAAATCAAACAAGAACGCCCTTTACTAGCTATTGGTACAAAAACCAAGAAGACATACATTTAAAAAAAATTCAAGGGCTTTTGTAGCTGAAAATATTATTTCAGAGATAGTTGGAACTAGATATTATAAAGACTGCTTCTGCCCATAGTGTAATAATGTCAGTGACTGAGAGGTAATATGATAGCACTCTACAAGTACCTGAAAGGCTGTCACAAAGAGAAAGGCCAAGATCTCTTCTTGTTCATTCTACAGTGCAGGACATGGAATAATGGACTTAAGTTAAAAGAAAGATTTAGTCTAGACACCAGGAAGTATTTCCTCACCGTCAGAGTAGTACGGCAATGGAACCTACTACCTGGGGAAGTTGTGGGCTCTCCCTCATTAGAGACATTCAGAAAATGTCTGGACCATCACCTGAATGGAATGGTCTTACTGAAAGTCCTGCAATGGCCTACCGGCCCCTCCTATTCTGTGATTCTATGATTTCTAAAACTAACCCAGAGTTGAGCATTTTCCGAATCATCTATAAAAGCACGAAATTTGAAAATGGGAGCATCTGCCCAGCCACTGTGGAAACACGATACTGGAACAGATAAAAACCACAGTGAAAATCCTCCAACAATCTTGTGGATAACAATTCATTATCCATGAAAGGAGAGGATTTGAGGCATCTTTTAGGGGACGGAGGGTGCATATTTCTGAGAAACTAGGTGGACAGGGGCTGGCTTGGTTTATCTTAGTTTTAAGATAAAACTACTTAGGAGGGTGTTAAGATTATTTTTTAAACAAAATTTGTTCCCATAACATCCTGGACTAGAAATTGTTGGCAGGAAATGTTATAGAAGTTTTTAAAAGTATTTTTCAAGTAGGAGAAAAGAGAAACCATTTGCCACATGATCTAGAAAACCAAGGAAACTCAATCCAGACCACCCGAAATGCTCAGACAATGCTCCTGCCGTTCTCCCAGCCCAGTTTTCAGTGTTTTTTCTCCTGCCCTTTCCTCACCAATTGCTGAAGGAAGGTGGACCACATGGATAACCTATGCGAGTAGACTAAGAGCACATTCCAATGTGACCTCCGCAGTGCTCCACCTCCATGCTCTTCCTACAGCAGCTAGTGGGCCAATTTCAGCCAGCTGGCTGGGGTGCTTTGGGATATGCCATTCCTTGGCCATCCCAGTCTCCTCCCCTTGCTGACCCCCCCAACACCCTGTTTGCCCCTTCGCTGAAGGCTGCCTTACAGTCTCAAAGACATAGTCGATACAGCTCTTTCCACACCAGCTGCAAGAGGGTGATAGGTCTGAGCATGGACACCGAATGCCAAACTTGGAAGCGTCTTCTACCCTCAGGTCTGGGAGTCCAAATACTCCTATAGCGCTCTAGTTGCTGTCCAGGATGAGCACATTCCAAGCCTTGCACCGTCATTCTCTCTCTCTGCTCTTACATCCCACTGGCATCCCTGCTCACAATCTTTGCACTTCAAGCACCCCCTCACCTTCGAAGATCCCTGCTCCCTCTCTCTTACCGCCCTGTGTGCTTGGACGTGCTTTCCAAAACACCTGAATGATGCCACCTCTCTTATGTCAAAGGACCCACTTTTTCAGTGGTGCTTTTGGCTCCATGCCCTAGGTCACCTGCCCAGGTGTAGCTAAGCTTTGCCAAGTACACCTGAAACAACCACGTGCTGATTGTCCATTCTCCTCTGCTGCTGCTCCAACTCCACTCCTCTATTTCTTTTGTGCCAAA